GGAACCGGTTTTGACCATGAAAAGGCTGTCAAGAGAATACCACTGGTCGGGGGAGGTGGAGACTTTAGAGGTAGGAAGGGACTAGTGGATTGTACTTCCAATTGAAACAACTTAACGAAAGGTGGTTCCAAAGCCGAGAAAACGAAGTTGTCGGCCAACACACGGTTTGGCCGCCAAGGGCTTTTGCGGTCAGCTGTTGCGTAATAACCTGTTTTGCGAGGTGCTGATTTTCGGCCCACAGGTACTTTGACATGACCGTCACTTGGCACAACACTTATTATAACAAAAATAGTTGGCATCGCGAAACCAGGTGGAAATTTAGTTCGGGCGGCGTAAGTCAATGGGAACTGGCTCTCACCGTCAAAGGCTGTCGGAAAATACCACTCATCGTGGGAGGTGCACACTTTACAGGTAGGAAGGGACCAGTGGACGGTACTTCCAGTTCGAACCACTTTGCGATAGGTGGCTCTAAAGCCGAGAAAAAGAAATTGTTGTCTAGAGAACTCGGGGTGTCAGTGTTTCCACATCCAAAAGGAGGCTGATCAAGAAAGAAAGCACACCACATAAACTTCCATACTCGAACGGCGATTCTCCAGTGATTTCGAGTTTCATGGTTGTTTTCTTTAGATTTATATTTGTCACTTTTTTTTACCGTTCAAATCTTTCTTCATCAAGTACAGATTGCGTGCCATATTTGTCCGGAAATATCATCGACACGTACCATGGGGACGAAACTTCTTTGGAGGGCATTCCTCCAACGAAATTGGCACTGCATACCCGCGAGTGTGGGATGGCATTTCAGTTCGTCCCATCGGCGCTGACACATGTAGGCGTTACTGGTACGAAAACAAACGCAGAGCGCAAAGCGGCAGTGTAGAATATGTCAGCCGTGCCGACATAGTGGCAGACATGATCGGGACACCAAATTTCTCGCGTCGTACGGCACGGCTCCATCGTTGTCGCTGTCCCACAAAACATCGGCGAGGTGAAAAACTGTGAAACTTTGTCTCCACGAGATACGACGCATAACTATTGAAGCACTTAATGATGAAGCACAGGCAGCACTTCATGCTGTGAACCCAGCGCAACAGCACCACCCCGACTTCAACGCGTACCAACGTACGCGGCATGGTTTCGGTTTCGTTTTCTCTGGGGTGCTCACTGCCTACCTTCGGTAGCGGCCGCGCGGCGGCGCGCCAGTCGCGTCGCACGGAGTGTATAGGCTATCTGCGGTTACGGACAAGAGCCTGCAGAATATCGCGTTTACTGCCTCGTACAGCACCACTGAGAAAGCGATTTCAACAGAAAATGGTCTCATACTGTTTATTGCCTCAGTGCAATACGCATTGCACCGAGGTGGGTGTCAGTTTTCACCGATATCCAGCGGCCGGCGTGCTGAGGAAAGAGTGGCTCTCGAAGGTGAGATCTGATTCACGCGATGGTTTGCTTTAAAGATTTCACCGTCGAAGACTTCAAACCAACGATGCATGACAACCAAGGTAAGTGGAAAAATAAATCTGCTTACAAAAGTGTCACGAGTGGCCCAAAGCATAGTACGCGTAAAGCGTGCACGTTGATACTCGCTGCTGGGCAGTGTGGTCGTCCTTAGTGTGGGTTCTCCCGCTGCGGTGTTTTTGGAGAGGATGCGAATGCCACAAACTTATTACTGCGTAGGGATCTGACTTTTGAAACATTGTAGAATTGTCACCCCTTTGGAAGTTTCCTCTTGATTTTTTAATGCGTGCTGCGTAGCCTTTCTGTGCTATCTTCCACTGTGAGAAAAAGGGCTGGTAAGTGCCTGCCATTCAAGCGTTTCCGCTCGACATTCACGGGAAACGAAGGAGGGGAAGGATGTCGAAAGGCTCTCGACGTGATTTTACGAATAATGACAACTGTTCTCTCCCTCCCAGAGATAAGCCGCGTTGGGTCCTCAATCATCTTCAAAAATAGTTGTCCGGGTTGAAACGGGTCAGTCGCGTTCGTTCCTTTGCCTTGGTGCTGTTGTGAAAAAAGGAAGCTCTTCCTAAAACGTGCCCCAAAACGAAGTCATCTTGGATTCCGTCCGATCGTCAAGATGTGACTGTCATCGGCTGTGATTGTGTTATTTGAGATCTTTCTCAAATAAATTATTTTCAGATAACTCTGCATCGTGTGGTACGTAATATATATTGTTGGAATGTTAACACTTGCTAAATTGTATGTCCGAGTCCTGTCCATCGGATAAACACTTCATTGGTGAGCGTGAAAAATGCATGCCTTTTGGCTATCTTCTGTTATAAATTATTTTCGACGGCTAAGCGCTTTGTCGTTTGACACGCGACTAATCGGGTGGTGCCGTCAGAAGTTATCGTAAAAAAATGTATAGTTTACAGGTTTTGTTTTTTCAAATGTTGTGCAATGCATTCTCAATGTCCTCGGAAAATACATGGACCATGCTGCGGCAGACGACGACAATTTAGCCGCCAGCAGTGTTTGAAACTGCGTCTACGCGGGCTGCGTCAATCGAAATCACAGTCCACACGGTTAGGGTTACCAGGCCGCCGGTGAAAGTCTAGCTTCAAACCCAGTGACTGGGCTCGAAAACGGTTTTTTGCCCCTGGAGTCGGGTGTTTCTTAGAAAGGTGTATATCGTCGGCGGCCGCAACCTCGGCAGTATTTACGCACACCATCGAGCTCGTATTGTTCGCCACTGATGATAATTCTAGGCAAGCTTACAACTCATGACGTCACGGCAACGCAAACTCTGATTGTGACGTCGCGAACGGAAGCCACACGAGGGCGCCACCGAAACATCTGAATGCTAATGGCCGCTTACAACTTAAAGAAACAAACAAATAAACGGAGGGTGTGGAACTTATTATGTTAATTCATAAATCATTGCTTCGCGATTGGTCCTTCGCCGTCCAGACTGGATAATGCCGCACTCTTATTGGTTGCGACGGGATAATAAGACGCACCGCAGTCTGCGCGCTGCCATCTTTGCCTATATAATGGACCGTGGGAAGCGTTCTGGGCATGCCCTCTTCTGGTGCCTATCAGCCGCGCCGGGCGTGCGTCTTCAGCCCAGCGACTCGGTAATTTTGAACTGGATAATACGTGCTGGAAGGACAGAACAACCAGCGTAAAAAAGTGACCTATAAAGCTCACCAAATAAAAAACCCTGGGAAGGCCTGTCCTCGAATATATACTTCTCAAGTTTGGGACAGCAACATGGCCACAACTGCAAAATCAGGAAACGGCGAGGAGATTTGCGCTACGCTTCGTATACAGTGTATACAAACGAAACGAATGTTTCTACCCCGTATTTCATTTCATTTTATTACCTTGAAGACCCCCTTTTCGGGGTATTACATAAGGGGTGGGGTTACAAAAATAATCAAACATAGGTGCTAGTCTTCAGGATGAAAGATGATTGGTAACATTTTCGAAGAAGATTGATGGGGAGGTGACGGCAGCAATGTGGCGGGGAAGGCCATTCCAGTCTGAAGCTGCTCGGGGGAAAAATGATGCGGAAAAAGTGACAGTGCGAGAGCGTGGGCGAGCAACCTGGAGAGGATGACTGGTGCGGTGAGATATGCGTGTGGGAGGTACGATGTAAGGCGAGATACAGAGGGGGGAATTAAATAACTTGTGAAACAAACAGAGAGTGGCGATGCGGCGACGACAAGCGAGACTAAGTAAACCTGATTCAGCTTTCAGGGGTGATACGCTGGTATTGTACGAGTATGAAGAATGAATGAATCTAGTAGCGCGATTTTGGATTGCTTCGAGTGCGTTGATGAGGTATACTTGGTGAGGGTCCCAGACAGCGGATGCATATTCAAGCTTTGATCATATTAGTTATTTGTAGGTCAGTAGTCTTACTTCCTGAGGGGCGTGGCGTAGTTGACATTCCAGGAATCCCAGGGTTATGTTAGCTGATGAGGTAATGTTAGTAATATTCGTACGCCAAGATAAATCGCTGCAAAGGGTGACATCAAGGTATTTATATGATTCGGTTAATTCTACGGGAGTGGTGGTGATGGTATAGGGGAAAGAAGAAGGGATTGCGGCGGCGTTGAAAGGACATAACTTTACATTTACCAGAGTTAAGTGACATTAACCAACGGCCGCACCATTGCAGCACGTGGTTAAGGTCGTTTTGGAGGGCAGATCGTTCAGATACGTTAGTGATGGAATGGTAGATTACGCAGTCGTCTGCAAACATGCGAATATTACAGGATAAATGTTGCGGTAAATCATTAATATATATTAAAATAAAAGCGGACCAAGAACAGACCCTTGGGGGACGCCCGATGTGACTGGGATGAGATTAGAAGACTGGTTATTGACTAGGACAGATTGGGAGCGGTTGTTAAGAAATTCTTTAATCCATCGTAAGATATTACGGTCTAAGTTCAACTGAGCAAGTTTTAATAGCAAGCGCTTATGAGGTACTTTGTCAAATGCTTTTGAAAAATCTAAAAAAAATGGCGTCAGTTTGTATGTTAGAGTCGAGGTTAGTGTGCAGATCATGAAGAAAGTCTCAAATTGAATTCTTTTGGACTAGCCGTCGAAGGGCGAGACTGAAATTTTTATATTCCTATACTTTACGGTGATTATATAATGGGCACTTTCAAATATTTAGCTCGGCGACTGGTTCGTGCCGCACGAAGCTTGCATAACGAGGCGTTAGTACCGTACCTGTGCCACAATGACTCGTTTAAATGTTCTTTTCCCGCGTAATATCGAGGAATGAAATAGCCTTCGAGAAGCGAGTAAATTTGTCGATCGCTGACTTGTTTAAAAAATGAAGATACAATTGGAATGTTATCCTTAAAATTGATTTTTATTGTATGTTTGTTTTGGTTTGAATTTACTTTTAAGTGTTGCATCTCTAAAAATATTGTGCATTACCTTGCAGTGCCACTCCTTTCACAACCTACAAAGGGAGATTAGCGGTATTTTTAAAGAAATAAGTAAATAAAAATAAATGTACGTGAAGAAGAAAACGCACATACCGTTCTGAAACCTCAGCTCAGCACGGCGCAGTGGAATGTCACAAAACCGTTGATGTTGCGCTGAGTAAGCTCTTCAAGCAGACAGGGTTCGAAGTTTGCAGCTGTTACAAAAAGGGAGAAGCGTGATTAGAGTTATTGTAGCGCAGCGTGCGACGAAAAACACTTTTACGATGCGCTTCGTGCAGACGTGTGCCCCAAGTGTGTCTCGAACTCACAATACGATGAGGCTGTAAATTCAAACTTTGGAGCGCCTTTGTTTTGCTGGGGGTTGACGGTGACACCAAGCGAGCCTTAGTAGTCTAGGGAAGGCGAATCCAATAGCTAGGTTCGACCCTTACACATAAACATAACATAGCACTGTAATATATATATATATATATATATATATATACATATATATATATATATATATATATATATATATATATATATATATATATATATATATATATATATATATATATATATATATATATATATATATATATATATATATATATATATATATATATATTGCGTACACAACCTGTGAGTGATGGATTTGTGGCCTCGTATACCGCAAAGCAAAGGTCGCAAAAAACGGTAATATAATTTCGATATGCCGCGGTGAATCCTGACAAACGTTTTTCAACACTTACTTTTTAAAAACGTTTTAAACGTTTTTTTTTTTACCGGTCAATTTTCGCATTAAGCACTCAGTATGCAAAGAGTCATCATGCAAAGCAAATACGTTGTGGATTTTTTTTTTTTTGCACTGTGCTACAATTTTAAAGAAAAGACTATATTTCAGTACCGCGACGGTACTGAAATATAGTCTTTTCTTTGAAATTGTTTACTCTTTCCTAAACTAGGGCTGGGCTTCGAATAAAAATTTTAACCCGAATAGTCGTCACCACTTAATCGACTGATTAATCGATTACGTTCACTCTTATGCATGATAGTTTTTAAAAAGTAAAAAAAAAAGCTTTTTTTTTTGCCTTTGCTGACTATATGATGAACGGAGCAATGTACAGTTTTGGTTTTTAATTCAACCTAGTTGAGAAAAAGTCGAAAGCACTCACATTTAGCAATTATTACTTCAGCAGCGGAGGCAATGCGAACTCTTTTGACAGTTCACAATAGATTTTACTGCGCTAGCCTCAAACTCGCACGGTGTTGGAGCAGCTGGGACGCGTATTACCTTGTCCAGTTGCTGGGAACTACAGATCTCGCCCTAGTTGCCCTAGGCCAAATTTTACCTAAATTTCGCCTTCATACAGGTGTACTCGTCCAGGTATGCGTGGCTGAAGCGTTAATTCGTTCTCTTTTGTTTGTCACAATTTAGCCGACTGACCGGTTGAAAAATAAATTAACCGCCATTAAAACATAAATTGATTCATCGGTAAGTCAATCAATCAGCTGCCCAGCCCTACTATAAACGCGATTGAAAGTAATCAAGGTAAACATTACATCGCCAGGAATAAAAGCGATGAAATGAATTTAGAACTAAAAGCAAATGTTTAATATGATGCGAACATGTGCGCTCAACTAAAGAACAGGGCTGTACAGTACATCCTGCTTCGGCGACAAAGGGGCGAATGACCTGTAGCACAGCGCTTCCTTTATACATGCGCAGTGATCAGGAATATACACGATAACAGACAAGAATATGCTGTGAATTTCTAGAGGAGACGAAGAAGGAGAGAACTGGATCGGCGGGGTATGGACTCCGCACATTCAAAATATTCAGGTGGCAACCGCCTGCGGAGCCAACTTTCCCGGGCACTCCACAATATTTGAAATATACTACAGAATAGGTTAAAGGCTTTCGCGAAGTTGGAAACACCGACCCTCAAAGGTGCCGCATCTCCTGTTAAAAGTAAGTACTTGGTATGAGTTGCAAACCTGAAATACACATCAAAGGTTCGCGCCGCCGTCCGCGGATACCAGATGGTGCACAGGCCACAACACTAATATTCCCTAAAAAAAAAACATTAGTAAACAGAAGTTTTGCTTCTCGCAAAACATTACTGATATTTCCCTTTATGTGGTACATTGAAAAATATGTAGATGCATTTTAGATTATATTGCTATACATATTTTCTATTAAGACGTATATGTCTAAAACGCCAAAAGCGTCGTTCCATCTTTTGACAACCAAATATTGTAAGGACTATACTTGGCGCAGCGTGAAACAATACGCAAAGCTTGTTTTTATCCCTTGTGTCATAAAACGAGCATAGTGTTTTCATATGCCGTTCGGTGCAAGTTGTGCGAACCTGCATGCAGTGCGATTCCGCACAAAAGAAAGAAAAAAGAAGGCAGTAACGGGTGAGCAAAACTCACCTTCATGTGGAGCCCCATTTGGTTCGGGTTCCCGCTCGCTCAACTGGAATGAAACGGCGTCGGCGCGGTAATAAAAGGGGCACGAAAGTGGATTTCGAAACCGTCATTTTATGGCTCAAGCTGAGCCTACGGGCCGTGAGCATCTCATAAAACAAAAAATTACAATCATCTGTAGCTATGCTTCTAGATATAAAGTCAAGTAAATATCGCGCCACGTTATTTTCTTTTTTTAGATACACATCAGAAAAGAGGCGTAACACGATATTTGGTTGCGCATGGTTCTAAAGTGCTTTCAAGGGCGCTTAGGACGCGTAAATTGAGTCCGTGCAGATTTAATCCGCGCTTTCTAAGCAGCCTAGAAAACCCAAACTTTTGAAGAAAAAAAAATAAAAATAGTACCTGCCTCGGTGACGAGGGGGCGAATGACCTGAAGCGTGGCTGTACGGCTTCTTTTATAGATGCGCAGTGACCAGTAATGTTTTAAACCGAAACACACTATAACAGACAAAGATCAGGTGTACATTTTTGTTTTCCGCAAAAATAAAGGTGTCCTCAGACAGTAAAACTTTACGCGAGAATATAATGCGAAGGTGCTTTAATATCGCTTATAACATATTTACACTTTTACACATATCCATAACGGTCGATTTTAGTCCTGGATCGTTTGGCGTGAACTTTGGATCCCTCGTGAACTTTGTGGTGTGTGCATGTTTGTGTGTGTGTGTGTGTGTGTGTGCGTGCGTGTGCGTGTGTGTGTGTATGTGTGTGTTTGTGTGTGGCCTTTGAAGGGGCACCTAAGTATACTTTTACATCGATTGTTTATTGCGGGCACCATAAAAATGCAATGTGAAGTTTAATGTTAACGTCGAAACAATATATCCCCTTTTCGTCGACAGGATCGACCATGATCAATCACACCAGATGAGTAGCGCAACACAGTTTAAAATGCAATGCTCTCAAATATTTGTTTTCCCTCGGGAAATACAAGACAGGAATTCAGTCGAAAATGATATTGCAACCCTTTATTCAATTGAAGATATCACTGCTGCAGTGAACGATTAATAATCGTAAGCTGGTCTTGTGTTCTCATGTTTATTTGTTTTAGATTTATGAAAATAATTCAGCTCCTTCCACGATTTTCAGCGGAGAACCGCAGTGTTTTTAAATAAATAAATAAATACAGCTTTAATCTAAGTATAACGGTCGAGCGTAAAAGCTTTTAATGTGACTGAGCATAGAAACACAATTTGAGGGTTAAAAATAGCCTAAAACTACGCCAAAAATTTTTTTTTTCTTTCACAAGTTTTTTGCAAACCGCCACTTTTAAGAAATTCAATTAGAACATGTTAGAGTTTTCCACGTAAAACGTTGCCATTATTGGTAATATGGCGAAGTTTAAGCGGAAATAGGTCTATTGATATTGACTCTATATGGCTCTATGCAGTTTAAATTCCACGCGATAAATGAGCGAATATAGAACAGTTTCTTTCGTTTTATTCCATCGGTAGCTTGTTTTTTCTTTTTTTTTTTTTTGTGAAAATAAATGCGTCGCCAGACATAACTATTTTATGGCGTAAATTAGAGTCGGGCAGTATCGCGAAACAAATCTATCTTGATAGTATTTCAGAAACACATTTCGTATCTGTATTTCTCTATCGCAGTACATTTTTTCACCAGTATTTGTATTCCTGTATCGAAATACATTTGGAATGTTTCTTTGTATCGCGATAGTCAGGATGAAATGTATTTCGTGACATTTTTTGAAAAATACTCCCCCCCCCCCCCCCCCCCCCCCCAAAGGAAAAAAAAAAGAATCTGTCCGCATTTTCTTGTTTTTTACTTCTGAGGGTACTAGGGTAAAGGAGATGCTGGGGCATGCATTGTTACTATGCTGACCAAGGTTCCTTCCGATTGTCCAAACTATATTTCTATGCGTCTTCTTCTCTCTTCTGTGAGGTGTTGCCTAGTCGGGGACTCGAACCAGGTAACGTGCCAGGAATGGAGGGGATCTTCTGACGCAGGTCCTTAGGTATTGATTTCTTGGGTCATTGTTTGCTGGCATCCAATGCCCACTGCTAACCGCTCTCTTGCCTTAGCGTACAGAGTACACCCAGCCGGCAAAGCTGATTCGCAGTCCGTTGCAGCACGAGCCTGGTGGTGGTTGACTTAAAATAGCAGGATGACCCACGCAGCAAAGTTCAACACGTATTCGATTGCGTCTGAGGCTTCGCCTCTAATATTTCACGGCTCAAAGGTAATATTTCACGGCTCATCAGCCCACGTGAATGTGAGCCGCTGCTGTGGTGATCCGAAACTCAGGAAGGAGGCCAGACGTGGCCTCGCTGTGCCGACCCAGACTTCGTACACCTGCGACTCGTCTCGAGCGCGTTGCTTCTCGGAGAGCTTGCACCTGTGCCGGCAATATCAGGTCGCAATTCACGAGGTCTCTGTTTGGATGATGCTAGGCGAAACTTGAGGACTGCAATCCATGCGTCGGTGGCGGAGGGTCGCCAGGAAAGACCTCCAAAACAGGAATGCTACCGTATCTTTTTTTTTTTTTAAGACATGTGTTCTAGGGTGCTTCAGGTGGCCCACTATCCTCAAACATTTCAAATGACACTGCCTGCTCGATCTTCAACTAGGTCCCCTACAACGAAATTACGTATTGTCTTTTCATGCAGCAGCGTGGTAAAGTTTGATGTTCAAGGCCACACCTGCAGATAAAAAAAATACCAGTTCATTCCACCGTCACGTCATGTGATCTATGTTCACATTGGCGTCCTTATTGGACAGGGGCGTGGTGACGTTTTGTTGGGATTTAGGGTGACAAAATATATTTAGAGATCGAAGTCTTTTCGGCATTCTTCGTCAGACAGACAGGATGTCAGGGAAGGGACCGTGGTCAGTCCTTGATGGAACGTTTTTTTGAGCCCACTGAAGACTCCTTGTCGTCCGAAACCACTACCTTCAAGGCAAAGTGCCAAGCCTACTGGAATGTAATTTCGGGATCAAAAACGTCCACTTCAAACTTCAAGCTTTATCTCAGTTGGCGTCTCAAACAAATTGAAAAATGTATTGCAGTATCAGTATTTCTGCATTTCTATTTCTGCCCTCCCTAAACTGTAGTTCTGTATATGTATTTCCGAAGACTTTTTGCCTATTTTTAAAATTTATTTCCGATATGTATCGCGATACACTTTTTCAGGTATATTTTGGTATCAGTATTACAGCTACTATTTTCATGTATCCTAGTATTTGTATTTCCAAATACATTTTTGAGTATTTCTGCCCTACCCTGGCGTAAATATATACTGGGAAACGAGTATTATCCTCACCAATAACACGAGCAATTGTTGATACCGTGATGGTCGATATCGAGCCTGGGGTTTCGTTTTGGTCCGATGTGAACGAGAGCCTTCTCGGCAGCTGATTGGACCTGGCTCCACTCTGTACGTGCTTGTGATCAAATGATGAGAAATTTTTTGACCCACTCGCAAGTTCACGATCGGGCAATATTTTGTTGGGAACGTATCACCAAGACGCACCCAGACAGGTCTCATGGGCTCTGATGCGCTTGATCTTATGGGAATAACTATTTACCACGTTGTTTGCGATCAAGCAGACCGGACCAGGCCCACCCGTATAGACTACATCGTCAAAACATGAAATAAAACCAAGAAGAGCATGGAACAATGGAGGAGCGGAGGTGCGCTCCTGTTTATTGAACATTCAACAAACGCAAGGCTAGCTATGTCCATCGATAACACATGGGCTAACGACGGCAGCAGTACAATCGTCCGTACCACACGGTTCACAAAAAACTATATGCCTCATTCACGGGCCGGCACGTGTCGTTCCCGTGGCGTTAGTCATGAAAACGCCATGCCTGATATGAGTATATGAGTATATGGGTATATGAGCCAAAAGCAAAGAAACCCATCTTGCCTTTTTCGTCAGCGCATTCCAAACTTGTGAAAAGAGGAATTGTTAACCTCTGTTTTAGAAATGCCCTGTTTAAGTCCTGCCCCCACAGGGTGAAAGAAAGCTTCGACACACAAGCGGCAAGGCTCAGACATGCGGGATATCCGTCTTACCTGTTGACGACAGTTGCTGAGAGCTTACTTAAGGCGGTGTCACACTGCGGAAACAGTCGGAGGACTATGTCTGAGAACACGACGGAAACACGTGTCCGGCTACCCTGTCACATTGCGGCAACAGCAACTTCCGGGAAACATGTCGTTGTCGCCCGGAAACCATCTCCGCCGACTTGTTGTCCGACGGTCGGACAACAGCCTGTCACACCAAGAAAGCATGTTGAACGACACGAAGTACCCCCTCCCTCACCCCTCCTTTCCTACCCTTCCTCTCTTTCGATCATTTGCGCAGTGCGCGAAGTGCAACCGGAACCATCGCGTCGAGTCGGTGCGTCCGCAGCAGGGTGGCCAGTTCCGCTTATTAAAAGCGTATTTGTGGGCTTCTTTTTTTTCCGAGTCGCTGGTAGATTTTTCCAGTCGCTTGTCTTGCTTTTTGTGCTTATCCGCGTTTTTCTCGCAAATATTGTTATTTTATTGCTCGTCGTGCTCATTGACAGCGCGTTTGTCGTCAAAAACGCGAAAAACAGATTGACCGTTTGGCGCTGCGGTTAGGTGGCGCAAGCTACCGTCCGGGGCCACCCTGGTCCGCGGCGTTCATCGTGCTAGAGCGAACTCGCTCGCGTTATCTTGTGCGCACTTGCGTTTAGCTCCCGCCGCCGTTTGCCTCAGCTCTTCGGGATGGCGCACGACGTAGAAACTGCTGCTGCGGCTGCTTTGGTGCTTTTATGTGCCGTAGACTCAGACGACGAGATGCCACCAACCAAGAAGCCGCGATCAAAGTGGACCAGCCAGTGGCTGCAAAGAGTGCATCAACAAGGCGCTTACGAGAATCTAATGAGGGAGTTGGCCTTAGAAGATTCAGAAGCATACCGTCGCTGGATCCGAATGGACACTGGCTCCTTTGAGGAGCTTCTCGCAAGGGTTCGACCTTTAATCGAGAAAAGGGACACGAATTTCCGGTTGTGTGTCCCGGCCGGAGAGCGGCTCGCAATTACATTGCGATATCTTGCCACTGGTAAGTTTCGGCCTTGCTTTATGTACGAATTCGTGCTGCTTCAGCAGCCAGGAGTTCCCTATTTTGCCGGCACATTAGCCCGGTAAAATTATTGCCGAAGCAGCCTCCCTTTCTTTTGGGCCGCGTCTACTTTCACGTGTGGCAGTCTGCCGGTGTCAGCAAAATACCCCCCCCCCCCCCAAAAAAAAAAAAAAAAAACAATAAATAAAGAGTAATGCTATATGCACTCCGGAGTGCAGCTCGGACGGAAATTGCTATACGCACTACGTTGGGTCTCGTATAAAACGAATGGTGAAAATCGGTTTCTGCAGCGGTGGTGTAGCGTAGTGGAAAGGTGTCTGCTTTACACACAGCAGACCCGGGTTTGATCAAAAACTAGGAGGTATTGGTTTGATTAACGGTGGGTGCTAATTTTTTTTTTTTTTGGTCGAAGCGACGTGAACGCAGGCGGGGGTGTGGGTTAACACGCTTCCCAGTAATACACGCGCCGTCCGATCGGGGTGACCCAAATAACACGAGCTCTTCGCATTTCAGACGGAACTCTAGTGGCGACTATCGTTCCGTCTGGACGGAACGCTAGCCACACTTTTTGCGGTAATACAGTATTTCCTAGGTATGCTGCCATTCCCTCACTGTTTTATGGCTATTTCCTTTTTTCTTTTGCGGATTATGTTTGCTAAAACGACACCAACTGGCGGTAGAAAGGTAAAAATTAACATTGTCACAATCTTCTATACTTATTTTCAGAAGACAGTCAGACATCGCTGCAGTACCACTTCCGGAGGGCGCACAACACCGTGTCCAACATTGTGGCAGACGTATGTCCTGCAATCTACAGTGTCCTCAGGGATGATTTCCTAAAGGTATTATAGACATTCTTTTTTCATAGATTTCCGAAGGATAAAAATTATAAAACGCGAAATGAAGACACAGAAACACGTAAATGCTTGTGCTTATTTGTCCCTGGATTTGTCCACACTTTGATTTCCCAGATTTCTATGGCAATACGCACATGATTGTAATGTTAGGATTGTTCGAGATTGTAGAATGCCTTATCACTTAAAAAAGGGAATCTCAGAAACTTCTTTAGTGCCCCTTTGAGGATTAAGGGCCATGAAAAGTTCAAACTATGTCTGAGGTGGCAGGTATCTCCCGGCTGATTCAAAGAAACAAAGAGAAGTGGAGCTAGTGCAATCGTGTCCCTGCGGAAAATGTCCGTAATCGATCTGGCTTCACTACTATAGCTGCCGAGAGGTTAAAAATGAAGTAGAAGCCCCACCTTTCATGCAAGCATTGTACTCTCTATAACACAAGTGCGCAGGTGCTACTAGAGCATGGTGGAAAACTAGCGCATGTTGGAGGCAGGGCATCTACTACTACGCAAACGGCACTAAGCATTCTAAATGTGAACCTGCCCATTGAGGGTCCGGCACTAATTCACTTTTTTGATCAAAATCTTCGGGCACACGGTGGATAGCGGACGAAGCTGTCGGTTGAAGAACTTAAAGCGCGTGCTTGGGGTCACGAACCGACTATTGCAAACGTGGCATCTCTTGCATGCATAGGGCACCAGTCAAGAAAGCACCATCATGCACGTGAAGGTAGCTTTGGCAGGCTTGAATTTGTGCATGATTGCCTTCATTAGCAAAGGCATATGGCAGGAGCCAGATGCTTACTTGTAGCAGATGAGGGGCTCCCAGGTTTCTCTGACTTTTGCAGTATGTTTAAACACAATGTGATACCTGCCCCCTCCCACAAACTTGCCGTGCATTGAAAATAATCCAAAATGTATCTTAATGGACAACAGACTTCACACGCCGAACCTAATAGAAAATAAAAGTTTCGCCCACAAGTCTGGCTAACTCGTTACACCAAGATGGCCTGTTGGTTAAACCGGTTGTCATCATTATCGGGTCTAATTCTGAAGATAAGCTGACAACCTGATCAGAATAAGCTTTCTCGGGTCAGCCACCCATCCACCCCTAAATGCCCAGCCTGGGTTTGCCATGCAGGTCAATGTTACATCTGTTACGGTTGTAAGTACCTTTTCCTTTTATTTCAGGTGCCCAGTAGTCCTGCAGAGTGGAAGGCCGTTGCGCAGGGCTACCAGGACCTGTGGCAGTTTCCGCATTGCGTTGGTGCACTGGATGGGAAACACGTTGCCCTGGTGCCACCACATGAGACTGGGGCACAGTTCCGAAACTACAAAGGATTCTTCAGCATTGTTTTGATGGCACTGGTGGATGCAGACTTAAACTTCATATTTGTAGATGTCGGCCGAAATGGTCGTATGAACGACAGCGGCATCTGGGGTGCCTGCAAGCTTAAGGAGACTCTGGAGAGGCAACCCTCCATACTTCCGGATGCCGAACTGCTTCCTAGGTCAAGAGACTCGGCACCCTACGTCATTGTGGGGGATGAAGGCTTTGGGCTAAAACCCTACTTGATGAGACCGTACCCTGCAGCTGAGCTCACCACTGACAAGCGGCTGTTTAACTACAGGTAGAGTGCACTATTGTGGATAGTATGAGCCGAGTTATATCCCCATGCTCATTTGGCATACCTACTAGTTTTGGAAGATACTATGGGGCAGATTGGAGATGCAAACAGCGCACCTATGTTTGTATGCGCAAGGGATCGGTGCACATAAACAGAGGCAAAGAAATCAGGCGTAGAGATTCACCCGTAAATTATTACTGTTGGTTCAGTGGTTATGGAGAAGTGGACAAATGTGTGATATAATGCATGTCATGTCACTTCAGCTAAACATACAGCAGTTTGAGACTTCAAGGGATGAAGCATGCATGAAAAAGTATCATGGATAGCACATCATTTTAATTTATGTGCAATCTTGGACTATTCTTTTATATGCCTGATAAATATGAGCTACGGGCTATACACTTGAGGCAACCTCAATAATCCATTTCACTTATATATTTATATATATATATATATATGGTGAGAAGGGTTGTTTTTGACAAGTGCAGCCTTGAGTAATGTGCAAAAGAAAGGGTGAAGGGGAAGGAGTTTAATTTTTTCATTAAGCTGGAAGGAAAGAGCTGGCAAAAAATTGGGCCAGGAGTCGCAATTAAATCCATAACCTCTGCCTAAGCGGGGCAGCACCTTAATCGATTAGGCCATCCTGAGCCACTGGTTTCGACGGGCTGAAGTTTTGACCAGATGTTTGAGGGAAGTTAGTTTTGATTTCAGTTAACGTGGAATACGTCTGCCAATGGCTGACGTAAGGTCCTGTTAGCTCCGAGTGCTGCAGCAGTGACATGGCACGTCATTTCGGCTCGCAATGTCAGAAAGGCCCGTCTAGGTTGGGGGATCACACGAAAGCACTCCAACATTTTAGTTGCTTAGTTGACACCTGTGCACTTTCTTCTAGGCTTTCACGTGCCCGCCGCACGTCTGAGAATGCCTTCGGAGTGCTTGTGAACCGATGGCAAATCTACCGGTCTCCCCTTCGCCATGACCCAAAGCGAGCCACTGACATCGTTCTGGCCACAGTGGCTCTCCACAACTTCCTCCGGTCAAAGCGGATAACTCGGCAGCTGTATACCCCACAGGACAGCTTGGATGTCGAAGACATCTTGACTGGTGTGTATACTCTGAACCACTTTTATATCCCGCAATGGGATGATCAGCGTATGTATGACACCGCCATAACTTCAGTTCACAGGAAACAGGCTGCAATGCATGAATTGCTCGTGGTATGTCAAGCTGTGCAAGCGCACGCCCACGGCGAGGTTGTTAAGTGCACTATATAGCGCCCTTGGCGCAGAGTAGTGCAGTCCATGGCCGACAGAGCAGCGCGTAATGAGTCTCGTGGTGCTCCTGTTTCCTGGAGGCATCCCCTTCTCTTCCCCTTACGTGAAAATGCATGAATGTCGACGAAACAACGAATTAACATTCTATTAAAATACAGGAGCCGCGCTCACACTTTTCAACACTGTTCTGTCATGAAGAAATGACTCGAAATGACTAAAGGGGCTCAGAAACTGACTAGACAAAAGCTCACCGATCTTGCATGTAAACATCAGAATAAATTTATTTGCTTTCCTTTGCCCCCCCCCCCCCCCTTCCCTCCGCCCGCCCCACCCATCTTTCAAGTTTAAATGACTAGGCACCCCATCCGTTTAGCGGCCATGGGATTGCTGCTGCTTATGTCCTATCTGGGAGAGGGACATTAGCTGATATAGTTGTTCTAACCTGTAATATGGATGCCCATGTAGTGGTCTTAGTGGAAATTAGCAAAATGCTCATGCGATATAATCTGCTGCGATATGTTATTATGTGGGGCTCTCTGAAGGATAACGTGATAAAGGCATTTCACGGATTCTCTCATACAACTCTGGAGTCGCTACATACATCAAATAGAAGCTTTTAACTCAGTGAGGCTTCGTCATGGAACATTAATAGACTGGTACGCTTTTGTCCACGTAGATAAAGTCGTGGTGAGTTTTAGCCAAGGGATCAGTGACACACATGGCGTTAATTTAAAGCTCAGTAATATTACTGACGTGCTAGAGTGAGATCCTGTGGCTAAATCTCACATGCATTGCTGTAGCAGCAGTGTGGTCGCCAGGCGGCAAAACACTCTTAAAATTGTGTGTCTCAGTAACATTTCTTTATGGCCCACAGGCAATGTGCGAAATGGATCATGGAGACAGGGGGTGACTCCCGCTGGTGCCATGAGACAGTTCCGAAGAGGCGGAAGCAACTCCAGTGACACTGCCAAGGCAGTGCGCAACTTGTTCATGAACTACTTTGTCAACGAGGGACAAGTGAGCTGGCAGTGGCGAATGATCCCCTAAACAGGTATTTCTTCAAACGGTCTGACAAAATTTTAATATAAAATGGGAAGTCACAAGCACAAACTTAAAATAAAGTGGTGATTTCAGATTGAATCATTGAATAGAACTTTGTTTATGATAAAGCAGGAGCCTCCATTTTAGGTTGCCTGGAAAGACTGCTAGTTCACTACTAAACAATGAATCGTAGTAGTTATCTTGACCGAACCCATGTTCACCTAAGCAACCACTTGTTTGATGAGCATTTGCCTGTGCATGAAACGGCGAGGTATCATACTATGGGCTTTTGTCTGGTACAGACCCGTCTCGTCAACACATAAAGCAAGAATAGTGATGCTATTTGTCATTGCTTCAAGTAGGAATGCAGCGTAAAAGTAGACTAATGCGTAAATTTAAGGGCCTACAGACACTGTGATAGTGTGTCGCTGCGGCACCGAAGTCAAATATGCGCCTATATATTGGTTGATGCAGGCATGTAGCCAGGATTTTACTTTGTGTGTGTGTGGGGGGGGGGGAGGGGGGGGGGGGAGGGGGAGGAAGAGGAAGGAAGGCAGGCAGGGAGGATAGGCCCCATGGTGCAAGACAGACAGTCGGCTGGTCCAAGAAGCATGTAGCTTTCACCGTGCTTCCACTTATGGGTGAACAGAGTATGCCCGATGTCAAACAGATTATGCAGATAGCATGATGCCTTATCAGAGACACAGCGGTGACCGATGAAATGAATATGCAAATAACTTCAGGATATGGGAGGACTTAGCACCAGCCCAGTGTGACTTTATTCGTCAGGCGCCACCTGGATAATCTCGGGCTGAGTGTTAATGTTTATGCTATACTTGACGACAGCTTCGTGCGCCAGCAGGCCAGCCATTTGCCTGTGAGGGCCCTGCGGCACATGCCGGAGCGCATTGGCCATCATGACGCCGAAGTCGTCACATTCGTCCTTTTGCTTGGTTGCCTCGACGGCCTTACTCAATGCCTGTGTTGCTGACTCAAGAAGCAGTCTCTTTTCAGCGGCACAGTCATCTGGCTGCTTCCTTTTTGCAGGCACACTTGGGCGTCCACTGGAACTCCCGGCACCGCTTGTGCTAGCTCCGTCGCTTGAGCCTCTATGGCAGCTGCTAGGGGCATTGCCTGGGCTGGGCGCTTGGCTGCAGCTGCTCAGCTCATCTTCCAAATCGAGGCTTGAGGGATCTACAGGATCGCTCCCTTCCAAGTGCCCCCAAGGGCTGTTGTCAGCTCCCACTTGAGAGCTTCGGCTGTCCTGCGAGCATGGTTCAGCCTGCAAGTATGAAAATGCTTGTATAGATGACATAATTTTCTTTATTTGCAACAAATAAAAACACACAGCATATAGTGATTGTTGGCTTCTAGTTTTCTTCCCATGAAACTATTTTTATGAGAAATCTGGTCCTTGTTGAAAAATGTCATCGGCCTTATGGCATTGAGCTATATCTGATGTCCGTAGATTATGATTGGATTATAATTAAGTGTAGTACTCATCACAGCTAAACATTGCACTTTTTACATTGCTTACTCACAGATATCAGCAAGAAACCTTTGCTGTGCCAGAGATGAACGACGTGATAATTAAGCATCTGACAATTATCACACTGTGTGGATGTTTTGTTTACGTATCTATGCAATTTTACAGTGCTTCATCTCGGGCATTGCCAGCAAAACAATAAAGTGTGCCCACCAACTCGCTGTAGTTCTCATGGAACCGAGGTGTCCAGTCTGTTGGCACCTTCCAACAGAATCTACACCTACCATCTGTGATTTCATATTTGCTTCTCGAATCTTTAGTGCTGGGCTATTGAAAGGTCACTTCGTAGCTGTGCGAACGTGTACATTTTGCATACAAAAGTAATTGGGACAAGCAATCATTGTCAGTTATGGAGTGAGAAAAATGGGTGACTGGTTACAGCTACTTTTTGTCACTTACATTTGGGGGGACCATGTTTGACTGGCTCTCATGTTGGGGACACGCACTCTGTAGGAACAGGAGGTCTACATAGTGGCCCCATCTGGGCACATACAGGTCGTCGAGGCTTGCTCCAGATTTGTTGCTGCCCTTTACCTTTCGGATCTCCCGCTGAAATTGCGAGCGCAGGTTCGAGAACCTGGCTTTCACCGCTGCCCCTGCATGAACCACAAACAGTTATAGGCTACAAAAAACTCTGCAGGGCAATCGGGCACACAAGCATGTTGTCTGTGGCTAGTACATTGTATTTCTGTACTCGACGCTATCGCATGTCAGTAAGCTTTACATGACGTACAATTGTCACCTTGTTCCAGAGGCGAGATAGCAGTTGGATAAGCAGATTTCACCAGGAGAAAACAGAAAATTTGCTTTACGAACGACAGTCCAGAAGGTGAGACTGTCGTTCTCACACCTACCAGTACACGCAAATGTTTGTATGTGTATTTCTCGAAGTTAACAAGCCGCGCGAATCGGGTACAAATACGCATGTGCCAAAGCAGCTGAATATGTGTCGCTTATTATGAGCTGAAGTAAGCTAAGCTAAGGTTTGTAAAACGCAGGTCTGCTGAATTTACGCGAAAACGACAGCGCAAATTCAACACTCCAGGTCCCTCGTTTTATGCATACCTGTAAAACCGGGCCCCAGCACACTCGCGACGTCTTCATAGGCCTTGTCCTTCAGGTCTCGTCGGTGGTAGCGCGCGTCCTTCGCATCCCACAGGTAGCGGCGTTCTTGGATCAACCCGATCATTTCAGTCTCGTCGGCTTGCGTAAACGACACGGCTGGGATGGTCGACGGCATCGTGAGGAAGGTGAGAAGACTGCACTGACTGCACCAACTGCACTACTTCGCTCGACAAAGCAAGAGAAAGAAGCATGGGCTAACGCGATATCGATTGGTCTTCAATTTGAAAGTTTACAACCCGCATAATTAAATATTTAGAAGATACCGCACGTCTCAGCCGTGAAAAAGCACATATGATGTTGTGTTTCCGGCGAAAAAATTCGCTCACCCGCCGACCTGGGCAACATGCGACGTCCAACACAGTTTTCTGCTTGTTTCCGTTGCTAAAGCTGTCATATCAAAGCAACATTGTCGCTGTCGTCCGCCGTGTTTCTCTGTTTCCGCAATGTGACAGGACTGTCGGGCAACAGGGGGAACGCCGAACAAGTTGATCGACTGTTCATGAACATGTTGTGTTGCTGTTTCTGTCGTGTTTCCTCAATGTGACAGCGCCTTTAAGAAAGGACGTGAGGAAACTACCCAGCAGGCTCGTAGGGTTAACAAAAAAGTAACTGTTTTACCATACCTCCATAAGATATCTCACAATCTTAAGAAAGTTGGCCGTAGGGTTGGAGTTGATGTGGTTTTTTCGGCTCCAGAGAAGCTATCTGGGCTATGCAGAAAAGTGAACTCCTGTCCTAAAGAAAAGCAGGGTTGCACCAAAAAACACAAGGACCAATTCGTAGACTGTGTGGAGGGAGTAGTGTACTCTATTCCCCTCTCGTGTGGCAGGAGATACGTCGGGCAAACGGGGCGATGCCTCAATGATCGGCTGCGGGAACACAAGTATAACGTGTTTAGTGTTGTGTCAGGTCACCTTGGCCTACACTGCCGAGACTGTTGCTGCGCTCCCGTCTTTGACAAATGTGAAGTGATTAGGAAAAATAAAGACAAACTCACTCGGGAAATCATTGAGGCGCGGGAAATTGGAAGATTGGGGCAAAACTGTGTCAGCATTCCGTCACTATCTTTATCAGATAAGGAACGCTCCTATTTAGACAAACAGTGACAGTGCATAGCGATGGCTAATGAGCACGTGGCATCCAGGTCAAGCTTTTTATTCATGTTTGTTTGTTGTGACAATACAGTATTTATACTCGCTGTTAGAACGAATAAACTTCAGTTGTAAGTCAGCGCCTTGTTTGTCTACCTTCTTGTTCTTGTCCGTGTCCTTGCGCTGTTTTAATCTTTAGCCATGCCTGCGCGACCTTGCACTAGACCTCGTTCTACGCTGACGTCCGAAAGAAAAAGAAGCCTCGCAACCCTGGTGCGGCCCCCCACCGCCAGAGGGCGCCGAAGCGCCATCTATTGTAGGGTAACTGTATTGGCTCTGCTGTCTGGTAAGAAAAGAGACCGGAGCATATGCAGTTACTCTAATCTATTGATCAGAAGGGCAAAGGGAGGTCAGGAGGCAACTTCGGAGGCATCGATTTTACTGTAGATCGTTTTAGCGAATGCCGGATTAGGGACCCTCGTTTATAGAATCCCTCTATTCGCCACTCCAGCGAACTACAGAGGGCGCCGCCACCAAACAAACATGGCGGCTGAGAACAGCTCGCGTCGGCTCGGCCGCGCCGCCTAAAAGTGTGGTGCATTCAATTTAACAGATTTTTCTTTTGTTTAAAGCTATATCTTATATGTATTTGTACTGCGACGCTTAAGTGTAGCCGGTGCACATAAACTTGCAGAGCATAGTTTTGTTTTCCCGGTATTTTTGTTCTTTTCATCTCAAACTTTTCTTTCGAAGATTTCGTTTAAAACCGAAACTATTGGCTCCAAAGAGACGGCAATAGACTCTTATCAGTTTTGATAAGCTAAGGAAACCGGCGATGACTACAGAATTGTTCCACCGAAAGTAATTTTCAGCTAAAAATTACGAAAATAAAGCAAGCGCTTCTTGAGCTAAGAAGCATGCTGGAGCCCCATTTAGCAGCAGATAATCATATTTCAATTCAGGTTTTTGAGGCAATCGAGAATTAATTTTGATGAATATGCGGGTTACGTAATATATTAAGTACTATTTCCCACTAAAGCGATATTAGTATATCCTTCGGGTCTAAATATGAGTTTAGTCGACAAGCTATTAGGTGAACTGCTGAATAAAGTTAATTTGACAGACAAAGAGATACTACTTAAACTCAGCCAAATGGTTCTAGCTAGGGAAGCCGCAAACTTTTTCGAACCGAAGCTTCGATGATCGAATCAAGCAGTTTGAAAGGTTAGAAAGTTTTCGAATTTTCGAATTTTCTAAATCGTAAAATTCGACGGAAGTCGAATTTTCGAACATGTTCAGCGAAGAAGTTCGACGCTTTTCGAACCGTCGAACTTAATACGCGAAAAAATTCGATCCTTTTCGAACTTTCGAACTTATCACGCTGCAAAAATTCGATGCTTTTCGAACTTCCGAACTTGGCTGACCAAAATATTGTCGCGAAGTGTTGCTCGCGCGAGTATTTAGTCTAGCTTCACTTTATGTTTTTTGCTTCTCCGAGAGTTCTTTCCGTCTACACGGGACGGCTCATGGATTCCACCGGAGTCGGGGGGCCCCAAATGGGGGCGAACGTGAACGCTGTAACGCTACACTTAGTTTACAGAACCCCGCGTTGGAAATGTTTTGTCTTGTGTATGTTTGCATTTGGGATATCTACTTCGGAGGTGGTTTTGCGCTGTGTATGTGTAACTTCTCTGTCTACGTACGAATGTGCTTTCTGTTGTTTATGGCTGCTCTTGTGAGCTTCGTTTGGAATGTGTTCTGTCTCGTATATGCGCTTGTTTTTGGAATGTTCGTATTTGCTTTAGCTTCCGAGCCTTCTGATTGGCTCTAAGAAAACCCCTCTTGATTGGTCCTTCCAAAACTTTCTGATTGATGGACTGGAGGACCCCAGTATGCTGCTGAAGGCGGCCATTGAGGGGCCGTAAGGGACTTGGCACTCGGATACCATGCCGTGAACATCTCCCTGCCTCTGGAAAACCAACCTGCACGTCCGACCCCCCTTCGGCTGTGGAGCCGTCCGCCCGCTAGTTCGCAAACTTGGTCCCCCTTACGGCTGTGGAGGAGTTAGGCTCGCCCGCCTTTGTGTGGAACCTTGTTTGTCGAGTTTGGCTGTGGTCGGGGCCCCCGCTGAGGGTGTGTGTGGTCGAGGACGGCAGGGAAAGTTTCCTTAGGTTAGAATTATTTCCCCCCCAAAAGTTTACTCTCAAATTATATAATGTTCAAAGTGATGTAAAAGAGTCCTTGTCTAGATCTCTTAAATAAACAGTGTTGTTTGTTAACTTCAGTAATCGTTTCATCAACGAAGAAGAAGACACCTTTTATCTTCTTCGTTACAAAAGTGGTGGAGGTGCGGGGTACGACCTTATTTTCTTTGTTACAATATCGATGATTATCGAACTTTCAAATTTATTGCACAAAAAAGTTCGAATCTGTTCGACCTTTCGATTTTCCTATGCTAAGGAATTCGATAATTTTCAAACTTTCGAACTGATTTATCAAGAGAATTCTAAAAGTTTCGAACTTTCGAATCCTGAAAAGTCAGAAGTTCGACGAACTTCGACCTTTTAGGGTAAGAGTTCGACATTCGTCGAACTTCGAAAGACCGGCGGACGGTTTCATTTGAATTCAAGTAGTGAGGTACATTCGTAATTTTGTTTTTTCGAACTTTTACTTGCGATGCTGCGTTCTTTACGAAAGACGATACCGTTTATTTCAATGTTCTGTCGTGCTTAGTTTTAAGGAAATAAATTCCCGAAGGGGCGAGGAAGGACGACGGGTTTTTGACGATTATCGTTTGTGCCAGATTTGAATCGCGCTGTAGCCGAAGCTATTTATGGTAGAGATATTAAAATTTTTAAGAATAATCTATGAATAGCCTAGGTAAGTGTCGTCTTAAGATATGATTATTGTTATTCAAGGTGAGTTTCGAAGAAATGTCCAAACATGTGTTTACATGCAATTATTCTCCAAACTTGGTATTAGGGGCGAAGCTCCTTAGGGGCTAGCCATGTCCGTATGTCCGTCCGCCGTCGGGTGCACGTCCTCCTGCTCGTGAGCTCACGTGCTCACGAGCACGTGAGCACCTGCTCCCGTGCTCGTGTAGGGAAAAAAAACAGCCGCATCTCCACGTGTTGAATGATGTTGATTGGGGCGAAGCTCTGGTGGTGCTTGTCTGCGTAGACGGTGAGCCGCAGCATGCCGAGCCTTTCGTTTGTTTTCATGCCTTCATCCATGTCAGAAAGAGAATGTGTGGTATGGAACGTGGGTATATACTCATTTGAGCATTTGACCGCAGCGTGAAATGGATGAAAACGAACGAAAGGCTCGGCATGCTGCGGCTCAGCGTCTACGTAGACGAGCACCACCAGAGCTTCGCCCCAATCAACATCATTCACCACGTGGAGATTCGTTTTTTTTTCGTCTAAGTTGTTTCAGGTATCGCATTTAAATTAACACCACAGACAGTACATATCATTGCCATCTGGCGAATTCTTGATAGTTTTTTTTCTCCAGCTTTTTATCCCCGCATTTATTATTACACAGTGGAGGAGCAAGTTGCATCAGCACACCATCTGTCTCGTTGTCCGACAAAGAGTTGGAGTTCATGAAACTGACTATAAAGGCCCAGCGCGTGCCATAGCGACCACATATCATGGCACAGGTTACACGTGCGACTTATGGTGACCAAAACATTCTTCTTTCTCTTTTTCTTCTATTAAAATATCTAGTTGCGAGTCAGCGCTCTGATCTATCCGGTGTGTCCCTTCCCCTTTTTGTCCTTTTGCGCTGTGTATTTGTCATTATGTATAACCAAAACCAACTAGCCCAACTTTCTACCTTATTATACTTTATTATTATTATGTTCTTTTTTTCTTTTTACCACTGGCACAGTTATTTAGGTCGTAAAGACATAGCTTTCAACTTCCGATCCACTAAGCATGTGAAGAGCAGTGC